GGGATTTGGGGGGTCCTTGGGGAGGTTTTGAGGGGTCCTGGAGGGATTTTGGGGGAGTTTTGGGGGGTCCTGGGGAGGATTTTGGGGGAGTCCTGGAGGGGTTTTGGGGGGTTTTGGGAGGGTTTTGAGGGTCCTGGGGGGATTCGGGGGGTCCTGGGTGGGTTTTGGGGGGTCCTGAGGGGTTTTTGGGGTGTTTTGGGGGGGTCCTGACCCCTCTTTGCCCCCCGCAGCCGCCCAACGCGCTCGGGACGATTTGGCCGCGGCCGAGCGGGAGCTGAAGGAGGCCGAGGAGGGGATCAGGTGAGGGGGACCCCAAAAACTGACCTGGGACCCCAAAACCTGACCTGGGACCCCAAAAAACACCTGGGGGACCCCAAAACCTGACCTGGGACCCCAAAAAACACCTGGGCGACCCCAAAAAACTGACCAGGGACCCCAAACCCCCTTTCCCACCCCCTCGTGCCTCAGTTTCCCCGAGCCCCTGTCGGGGTTTGGGGGGGTTTGAGGCTCTGGGGGGGGTTTTGGAGATCGGGATTTTTTTGGGGAGGGGTCCGGGAGGGTTTTGGGGACCCCCCCTGAGCCCCTTTTTGTGCCCCCCCAGGGCCCTGGAGCTGGAACTGGGGATGGATTTCGGGCCCGAGGGGGAATTCTCCTACCTGTACAACCAGTGCTGGGAGCTGGGCACCAGCGAGTGAGTGGGGAGGGGGCTGGGGGGTCCTGGAGGGGATTTGGGGGGTCCTGAGAGGGTTTGGGGAGGATTTTGGGGGTCTTGGAGGGGATTTGGGGGGATTTTGGGGGTCCTGAGAGGGTTTGGGGGGACTTTGGGGGGTCCTGGAGGGGATTTTGGGGGGTCCTGAAAGGTTTTGGGGAGATTTTGGGGGGTCCTGAAAGGGTTTGGGGGGATTTTGGGGGGGTCCTGAAAGGGTTTGGGGAGGATTTTGGGGGGTCTTGGAGGGGATTTGGGGGAGATTTTGGGGGGATTTGAGGGGTCCTGAGAGGGTTTGGGGGGGATTTTGGGGGTTCTTGGAAGGTTCTGGGAGGATTTTGGGGTCTGGGGGTGTTTTGGGGAGGGGTCCCATGGGGTTTGGGGGGGTCCTGACCCCGAATTTCCCCCTCCCCCAGGTACCTGTACCGGCTCTGCCCCTTCCAGCGCGTCACCCAGAGACCCAAAAACGGCGGCGCCGAGACCAACCTGGGGTCAGGGCACCCCAAAAACGCCCAAAATACCCCCAAAACCCCCCAAAAAAACCCCAAAAACCTTCAAAATCCCCTCAAAAACACCCCAAATGCCCCAAAATCCCCTCAAATACCCCAAAACCCCCTCAAAAAATCCCTAAAATCTCACCAAAATACCCCAAAAATACCCCAAAAACACCCCAAAAACACCCAAAATACCCCAAAAACACCCAAAACACCCCAAAAACACCCAAAACACCCCAAAAACACCCAAAATACCCCAAAAACACCCAAAACACCCCAAAAACACCCAAAACACCCCAAAAACACCCCAAACCCCCCAAATAAATACCCCAAAAAACCCCAAAATCCCCTCGAAAATCCCCAAAATCTCACCAAAAACCCCCAAAATGCCCCAAAAACCCCAAAATCCCCCCAAGAAACTCAAAAAAAAACCCCAAATCCCCCCCAAAACCACCCCGGGGACCCTCGGGGACAGCCCCTGGTGTCACCTGACCCCCCCCATGACGTCACCTGACCCTCCCATGACGTCACCTGACCCCCGTGACGTCACCTGCGCTCACCTGGCCCCTCCCCCGCAGGCTCTGGGGCTCCTGGGCGGGGCCCGAAGGCGACAAATTCGGGGCCCAAAAATACGAGGGGGGCACGGGGTGCTGGCAGGGACCCAACAGAGCCACCACGGTGAGTGACACACCTGTGTCACCTGTGTCACCT